TGTTTAATTTTTTTTTTTTAATCAACTGGAAACGGAGGATGAGAAGATAGGTTATCAAGTCTATTACAGTCCAGCTACACTTCAACCCCAGTTAGATCAAAATGCAGAGTTCAGGATGTCCAGAAGGGAGGACTGAGTCTGTGCGGCTTCACGTGCAAGTGGCAAAGGTTCTTCTTCTCCAATGGAATCGGAACCCCTCCCCGAGTCCTCCAACCTCTCCCTGCATCTGTGGTAGGGCAGAGGTGCTTGCTGCAGAAGGATGAAAGTTAAAATGGATCATGGTGACTGACTGACTTGTGAAGTTACTGGGAGAGAAAAGGCAAATCCCTTGCATTTGCAGTTTGAGCCCGTGCGGGTATTTAGTTTAATCCCTGTGTACAAAGGGCACCACACTGTTTTGCTGAGTCAAATCTTTACTTGCTCTCCTTTTGGTTCCCCCTGTGACTGCTGACTAGCAAACCGCACTCATGTCTTCCATCCTGCTCCTTTCTTCCACACAGTATCTTGGCACTTCCTGGGCACATCTACATGTTCATTAATGCATTGTAGTTACTGCACATTAAGTTTCGTACTTGCATAACCAAGTACTAAATCAATGCACAGTAACTCCTACTACTGGGCAGTAGTGCCAGTTTTCAGTGATGCTTACTGCGCAGTAGCTGCATAGTTGTGTATTGGCACAGCTTTTGCCCAGCGTGCTACTGCACTGTGTTATTAGGCTACTGTTCAGTTAGCATCTCGTGTAGACACCCCCCTGTCTATAGAAGCATGGACTTGCTGTTAGGTTTTGGAGGGAGTATATTCTTCTTGAACTATGTGTTGGTGGGAAACATTGCGGCTTGGTTTTGGTGTGACACCTCCAAACTGGCTTTCAGTGCTGAAGGTCTGAGTATGTCTGCAACCATAGTGCTGTAGTCTTGCTTTCCCTGGACCCAGTGCTTAATTCCCAGGGTTTCATAGTTTCATAGTAGTTTGGGGTCAATGATGCTGTCCCAGGCAGAAAGGTTCTAGTTAAAGTTTTAGGTGCTTAGCAGCCAGCATTAATAAGGACTAAAAAGCTGATTTGTTAAAAAGGGAGTAGTAGAGTTGGGGGCATAGCTAAACATAATGGGGGGAAATGACAAAGGATCCTTGGATTGAATGGCAGCAAAGCTTCCTGAACGTACTGGGCTGTGGGGAAGCCTCCTGAAGGATGTTAGATACCAAGTTGTTTGTGACACTTAGAGCAAGACTGAACAAAATACTAGTAAATGTACAAAAGGGAACAATCCTGCCCTGGTCCCCAGCATATAGATTAGATGGGACCTATAAAGCCTTTTCACTATTTAACACCCATCATCGGTGCGATCTGAACACAGGGAATAGAGTATTAGAGAGAATGCAAAATATCCTGCAAATCACGTTGATTATCTTAAATTAATCCACTGCATGCTGAGGAGAGAATAGTTATGGCATCCTTCCACACAGATCTGTCCAACTGTTTCTGTCTTTGTGTCTAGCTGCTGATAGCTCTCTTTCTGCCACGCTGTGTACTGTATCTATCATTCTCTGCATCTCTAGTCTCTGTCCTCTTGAATGCATAAGCAGATTTTCTTCCCCCTCCAAAGCTTGACTCTATCACCTCATCCTCAATATGACTTTATTCCTGGAGGGGTTTGATTCATTTTGTGGACAATATTTTTGGTGTTTTTCATAATCTCCATTGAATGGGAAGCACTAAAAGTAAATGAAAATAAAAACCTGAGGACCTTAGTGGATTTTTGGTCCCATATCAGTGACTAGCTTGAAATCCACAGTGGGACTGTAAAATAAATCTGCATCTGCCATGTGTCACTTTCACAAAGCTTGTTTCTTTCCCCGACCATAGGGACATTTAAAAATCCTGTTTATTGCACTTTGAGAAACAGCCAAATACCTGCCAGGGACCTGCTTCCTCACTAAAGACAAACAGCAACAGCAAGAAATCTTCAGAGATAGGGGGAAGGGATTTGGATTTAGGTTAACTCTCCACAAGAAATGCACTTTGATTGTACGGAAATGCTGGGACACTGTGCCAGTGAAGCCCTTGAATTGTGGATCCAGCTGTATCAGATCCAGTGCAGGAAAACCCCCCCTCCCACATGGATTAAGCGATGCTGGTTAAATTGCAGCCATGCTGGGGTACCATTGCCTACACTGTGCTTCTGCTGGTACAAGTGGGGCAGCAGAAATCACACCTCTTCACATACCCTGACCACAGAGCAGTGCTGGCAGGAAGCTGTAGTATCCTGAGCATCTCTAAGTACAGAAAAGAACTGTTCTGGAGCTGTACAAGAAAAATTACATGTCCAGAGAAATTCAACAAAGCAGGCTAAAAATCTCACTGCCATGGAAACCAACAAGACATTCTCGAAAGTTCGGAGGGAAATCTTGCCGCCGTTCAAGCCACCGTTTTAGAGCTCCTGGGGAGTGGGATTCTCACTGCCCAGGAAATTAGTAGTCTGGTTATTTGCTGTTGCTAATTGTGATGCCAGAAAGTACTATAATAGAGCACTGGGGAGCAGTGTAGGAAAGCTGTCTTTGAAAACCAGCTGTCATTGCAAAGCAGTGGGGAAAAGCCTCAGTGCCAGAGTAACAAGTACATCGTACTACTCCCTCCACAGGAAAAATGGATCTAGAGCTGCTTGAGCGAGCTTGCACCAGTGGATGAACTAGCAAAAACAGTCTTGAGCTGTGCAGAAACAGTCCCTCCTGGAGAAAATGGTTATCTTGAGATTTCAGTCTTTGGTTCTCAAAAGCAAAACCTGAGCATTAGAAATCGAAACAGCAATCATGGGAGGATCCAAGGCCTCATGTAGGAAGGGTTGAAGTTGTGCAGAAGCCTGAAGAGAACAAGGACCTTGACATGTGGCCAGTGACATAAATATAGAGGACCCTGATAAAGGAAGTGGAAGAAGGGTGAGGTGAGCTGAGCAAGTGGCTCCTGCCTCACAGGGCCACAACAAAAATGCTAAGGAATAAGTCATTCCAAGACTGGGTGTATATAGAATTGAACAGCACCTCCCACCCCAAAATCAAAAAGCATCTTACTTGTTACTTCTAAAATAGTTATAAATTTTATCTGGGAAGAATTTCCATGAACAGCATTAGTATATGGGGAAGATTGCACCCTTGACTGTGATATGTTTCCCAGGTGTATACCCAGATGACTTCACCAGTGGTTTTCCCCTTTGGATTGCATTGTATAAATGCCATTAGTGCTCAGAGAGCACTTGTCTAAGCCACCTCCCTCTCTCCCCCCAACCCCAGGAGCTGCTTTTCAACACAACCCTGATCTGGCATTGCAGGAACTTGTGACAAGCACTACAGAAAGCATGTAGAGACAGGCTCACACTTTCCTGATGAGCTCAGATCCTCTATAACTGCTTGAGAGAATTATTCCCAATAAACAAACTAGCAAAAGCATTCTTGTGCCATGAAGTATCTTGTGCTGTGTAAAAAAGTCCCTCCTGGAAAAACTGATTACTTCAGATTTCATTCGTTGGGGTTCTTCAAATAAAAAGTCAAAAGTTTGTGTTGGAAATATTGAAACAAAATGTTCTGATGTTTCCAAGATGAAACATTTCATTTCAAACCTGCAACATGTCCCGTGATTTTTTTTTTTTAATCTTTGTTGCATTTTTTGGCCAAAACTGTTTGCCAGATTCAACCCAAATCCACCAATAGTTTTGATCCTTCAAAAACACTTTCAGCAAATGTACTGTTCATCAAACATTTAGCCCACCCTAGCTCTGTGTTTTCCACACTATCTTCTCTACCCTGTCATCTTCCATATGGAAGTATTTGGCAGCATCTCATAATAAGTAGTCTGAAGAGAGATCCTCAGTGAATAGATAATTGCTGTTCCTGCAACACAGAAGGCTGTAACCTGCCATCTCATCCTCTCACCTGCATTCATGAAAATGTATCTTCCACCACTTTCACTCCCCAGTTGAAGCACTGTTTCCTAGATACAACCTGTCCCAACTCCAACATGTCCAGAGAGCTGTGGCTTACATCACAGTGACCTGTAATGCCTTCATGCTAGTTGAGCATGGGTCTGTGCACATTGTAAGAATAAGCCCTATGATGTCTGCTTTGCATGATGCCCTAAGCCTCATAGGGGCAAGCTTCGCCTATGCTGGTGGGGCACCCTCTCCAAAGTCCAAGAGAATTTCCATCAGTGTGGACTGGGGTAAGCCAACTAGTCCACAGGAGAATGTCATGAATGAAGCATTGCTTAGCATTTTGGGTGGAGACAGGCAAGTGCAAGGGCAAAAGTTTTGAGGAACAGAGAACACAGGATAAGCAGCCTGGGACAGATCTGGAAGGAGCAGGGTAGAAGGATGGCCCGGTGGTTACGATGTTAGCAGATCTGGATTCAATACCCAGCACTGTCACACTTGCCCTGTGTGACCTTGGTCAAGCTGTTCTCATTATGTCTGTATAGCAACCTGAAGATGCTATTGCTACCTGTGGTAAATCTAACTAGCCAGGTAGCAATAACAATAAAAACAGTGCCAGGAGCTTTGGCATGTGCTGGCACCTAGGGTCAAACTAATCACACATGCTCTGATTGACAGCAGATGCCATAGCTCATCCCACAGTGTTTTCACCACTCTTGTTCCCCTTGCTGACTAGATCATTCCAAAATATGTGTTTGTTAATATGTGATGCATCTTTTAAAATATATGTCACAATCATCCCTTTGTTTTAGACATACCCTGCATAGTCCTATGTGCACCATGGTAATATCTGTACTTCCTTCCCTTGCAGGCTGTATCCACTATGCTTCAAGTATTATGGGAAAAGGGGCTATGTAAGTACCTAAGTACCTGAAACGGAGGATGGTCTGTCCATTTAAGGGCCTCAGGCCAGCAGCCAAGTTTGATTATCCACCCACCTGGGGAGGGAAGCAGGTGTATCCTATAAAGGGGTGCTGGAGCTCCATTGAAGAAGGGCTGTGCAGAAGTGAAGTGGTTCTTAAGCAGGCTGCAAAGCAGAGAGTAGAAAAACAAAAGGAAAAGCTTCTAGGATCTGTTTTGCTCAGAGAGTTGCTGTGTGAGTTTGTGGAGGGCAAAGGGTGCCTTGGTGTGTGGATGTGATGCCAGTCCTTCCTTGGAGGATGGCACAGACTTTGGGGGCTGCAAGTGCCCTGTAACAGCTCTTCCACTTGGAAACTATGCATGTTCCTGCTACAAGAGGGACTCATGACTTGGGGGGCTCCTGCATGCCCAGTACACCCTAAATCAGTGGTACTTCTGAAACTTTGTCACTCCAGAAGAGAGCAAGGCTCCCTGACTCTGCAGGGAAGGTGCTGGTGAGTCTAAGCATGAATTCTTCAAGGAAAGCCACAAAAGAACTTAGGAGAGATGCTGTAAACTGTTCTGCAAGGGAATAAGCAGCTTCCTACTAGCCTAGGACACCACTATGTGGAGAGTGGGATCATGGCCAGCAACTCTAAACTGAAGGTAAGGTTGACTCTGGCATGTATTTCTGTCTTTGGAGATGGGGATGTTCCCTGGCCTAATGGAAGGTGTTGCAAAAACCACTTGCACCTGTGAGAAATGAGTGATTTCCAGTCCTTCCCCACACCCTATCCAGTGCCCTCCCTTTGCCACTGAGTTAACTCTCACTCCTGCTCATGGACTGTGCTTGTTCTCAGTCCAGGAATTAATATGGCCCTCGCACTAATGGCATCCTTGAGACACTCTTTAATTTTTAATGCTTCAATAAAATTGTAATTACAAACACGGCAATTCAAGTTGTCAGGAAGAAGTAGCAGCTTCCTGGGGTTTAATTATTCAATAGGAATTAATGAGGGCAGAGGTAGGCTTTGTCTGGACCATTCATAACCAGACCAGGATCCCTCCCAGAGAGGTGGGGAGAATAGAGGAAAGTCACCTGATCAATGGGAGGACAGGACTGTCTGCAGTATCCCCAGCCTGGTGTACAGGAAGCTACCAGGGGTCTCTGACCCCAGGACAAGTGGGGCAGCAGCATATTGCTGTGGCTAGAATCGGTACACTGGACTTCTATCTCCAGTATGGCTACAGAATTGCTTGCATGGTCCTTTTCAAGTCATTTTGGGCTTCATTTGGGTAGGGCATGCCCTGGCATTACAAGTTAGGGCCAAAATGCCACAGTAAAGCCATTAAGAGTGAGGCATAGTCAGGACGTATGGCACATATGGCCTATACCATTGCTTTTGGCTGTGCCTTTCATACCTGCTCAGCCAGCCCAGAGTTCATTCTGCAAGACAGGCTGCAGGTTACTGGCAGAGCAGCAGAGTCCTGTGCAGGAGCTGCCTGCCCTGGGCCAGGCTCTACTAGTGCTATTGGCACCTCTTAATAAGAGAACCTGGCAGCAGCAGGGTGATGCTGTGGGAGAGCCAGGTGAACGAGGAGTAAGTAGGCAGGGGTCGAGCTGACCTAGCAGGGCATTGCAGGTCAGGCTGGTAGGTCTTCTCGCAGAGCTGTGTGAACCAGGCTTGCATTATGCTTGATATAAGCTTGTGTGTCTAAAGAAGCCCTGTGCCTAAAGAAAGGTACTTGTGCACAACAGCTTGCAAAGAACTTTGTTCCAACTTCTCAGCTGATCTAAGAAAAGATGCACATCTACCCAAAGAACCTTGCCTGCCTATGTCCTTAGAGGCTTAGACAAACACGTCTACAACCAAAAACCCTGTGTGTTAATGGTGCCTTTGCCTGCCTTAGTCACCATGTTCAGCTGTCAGTGCAGGCTGTCCCCTCAGCCCTGCCGTTCAGCTATCCCCTGCTGAGCGCAGCAGGGAGAGTGCCATCTACCAGCACCTGTCCCAAGAATTTCTTTTGGGGCAAGGTCTGAATGATGGATTTTCCAGTCAGAAAAGTTGACATCTTCAGGACATGAGACATTTATTTGACTTTTGTGCCCTGAACACCCTTAAAGAAACAGTGACACACATGTGATCCCTTGCGCCAGCCTGACCCTACACCTTGGATCTGGCTTCAGGGTGACTCTTCCTCACTGTGGACCAGTGATGTAGCACTCTGGACCACATTAACTGTCTCACAAGTGGTTCCATGGCATTTCTTAGGCTGATATTCCTCCTGTTAAAATTTAATAAAGAATATAAATTAACCAAGATGCTTAGTGCTCAGCACACTGATTCAAGAGATCTCGGGTCTATTTCGAGTTCTGCCAGTGACCAGTGGCATGACTTTGGGAAAGCTACTGTGCCACTGTGCGCCTTGGTTTACTCTATGTTTTGGCTGTCTTGTCTTTTCAGATGGTGTGTGCGCCAGTGCAGGAAGTGCCTCTTCCCTTGTGTATGCACCGCCTCTAGCACAGTGGTGCTCAACCTTCCAGCCCTGCGGGCCGGATGAATGGCACGTGTGATCCTGTGTGCTGGCCCGACCCAACACACTGGGTCTGGTTGCAGGGTGACTACCCCGCTGTGGCTCAGTGATCTAGTGGTTTGGGCCACATCATCTAGCTGGCAGGGCTCCCCACAGGTTCAGAAATTTGACAGAAGAGCAATGGCAATTAATGCCACCACCACACCCAGGGCCGGATTAATGCATATGCACATTAGGTACGTGCCTAGGGCCCTAAGTGAAGAAGGGGCCAAGTTGTGCTTATTTTACATATTATAATATAAATATACAGTATTAAGTAGGGGCCCATGGTTTTCTTTGCTTAAGGCCCACGAAGGATTAATCCAGCCTTGACCACACCCCTGTCACCAAATTTCTGGTTGCATGGGGAGCCCCACAGGCCAGAGGACACGACTCCATGGGCCAGAGGTTGAGCACCACTCCTGTAGCAGGGTGGGGTCCTGATTCTAGCTGGGGACACTAGGGACCTCTCTACACATGCAGGTAAAGGTACAATGGGATCTAATACACGATTCACATAATCACACCTCCTGCCATGCCACATTACCGGCGATCGTGGGGGTTTTATGCACCCCTAAGGCCAGGGCTTTGTGTCACTTGCAATCTCCCAGCCCCAGGGGTTTCATGCACCCTCAGGGCAGCCATGCCCCACAACTGCCAGGACTTGGCGGGGTCCCAGCATGCTGCATCCCTGGTGCTGGGAGCCCTGTCAGCTGATGGGTCTCCCAGGTACTGGGAAGGCCCTGCTAGACAGGCAAATTAATGCTTGATAGCAACCAGCTATAAAGCTAGTACACTTTCGAGGCTCAACTTTATAGCAGGCTGGAGCTTTTAATGCTGCGATAGTTATTTGTACACGTAGCTGGTCTCAAGATAACACAATTAACCAGTTAATTGAACAATACCTCTAATGTGCAGAGGTGGCTGAAATCTCCCATAGTGCTTATAAGAAATGTATATTCTGAAAAGTGAATGGGAAAAATGGTGTTTACTGCCCTAGAAACAGGAGGCACTGTAATAATACTCTCATCCATACTTCACAAAGCATTTTATAATGTTAGTGGCCCAATATCCCTTGTTTCTACAAGTAGAGAAAGAAGAGGCAGGAAGAAGGTAAGCAACTTGCCTCTGGCAGAGCCGTACGAGCCCAGGCCCAAGACTAGAGCCCTGTTCTACTGACTCCCATTTGGGTGCTCTGTCTAGTACATCATCTTGCCTGTCTCAAAGCACCTCTGCTTTAGATGCTGTAGGAACAGCAGTCCTTGCTCAAGCCCTGGCATAATGCATGGATCAAGTGTATCAAAACAGTGATGCCTATGCCAAATAAAGCAAACAAGTCCATGTCCCACGAGCTGTAGCTAACTAGCCAATCCATCCCATTTCAGTGAAAATAACAGAGTGTTTCTAAACACAAGTTTAGAAAACAGTCCAGAAACTGGCTGCTGAGTAGCAACTGAGCCCAAGGTGAATTTGAAAAGATGCCTGAAACGCAGCTTTTTCCAATGGGAGCATTGGCAAGCCCAGAACCGCAATGCACCAGAGCCACTGAGCACCTCGATTGTTAGAGAGGATCGGACAAGGGTGAGATGATTTCCCAAAGTGCTGCTCCTGTGTGTGTGAGAACAACTTGTGGGGGGAGCAGAGGGGGAGGAGAAGACTGGGGAAGGTAGAGAGCGGTCAGGAAATGTTGGTCCCTCGGGTTAAGAAGCAAGTTGGTTCCTGAGATGCTGTAAATAAGCTTGCAGGCTGAACAGCCCCCTTACTGGCTGTGGTCACTACAGCTCCCTGGCTCTGTTTCCCACATCCCCAGGCTTCATAACCCAGTTGTCTGCCTAACTGCATAATAGAAAAATAGGGCTGGAAACTAAAGGGGATCACCTAGATCGGTCCCTGTCTGTCCCAGTGCTTAACCCCCTGGAGAGTGACAAAGGTCTTCCTAATTTCTCATTTAAATTTCCCTTGCTGCAGTTTGAACCCAGTACTACTTGTCCTAAATGCAGTGGCTATAGAGAATACTTGACCACTGTTCTGAGTCGCTGGCTCTGTGGTAGCTGTCACAGTGCACTGGTCTATTTAAGCCTCCGATGCCTCACCCACCCCCCTGCCAGTGGGTTTGGACATGGGCTAGTAGTTGAGTCAGGTAACCCAGACCATGGGATGGGGGCCCCTGCTCGATCAGAAAGAATAAGATCTCCAAGGAGTAGGAAGGGAGTTCTATAAGAGATGCAGGATATGGGGAGGTTTCTCCTGCAATCACAGTGCTGCCTACAGCAGGCCCAGGGAGAGGGGCTGACAGATGCAGACAACATCTACGCTGCCTTTGCACCACAGGGCATTGCACCAAAGCAGGGCACACGTGCTCCAGAGGCACTAAACTTCAGAACAGCATATCATAGCTGCCTCAGAGCAATGTTTAGTGTGCATCAACCAGCCCTCTGTCTTGCATGTACCTGTTGATGTATGCTCAGCACCACTCTAAGGCAGCTACACCATCTCCATTTCAAGGTTTAGCATATTTGGAGCAGGCATGTTCCCTTCACTGAAGCACTTAACACCTGGATTTTGTAGTCACTTTGAGTCCAAAGGTAGGATAGACACTCCCTGAGAGGCCTAAGGATTTGGGCTGAGGTAGGAAGTATATTCATGGAAGCAAGGGGTATGAGCAAATGGACCTTTCCCTGCTTACTAACAGGTACTGCAGGAGGGAGTGGGAATTGAGGGGGGCCTGCGGTCATGAACAGGCCCTCTGAGTAATGTGCTGTGGACCCCTTTCCCTCATGGGGAGGGGGTCTTATGCTTTAACTAGAGGACTAATTCACCTCTGTAATCCAACAGTGTGAAGAGCTGGCAGACTATTAGAGAGGTGGAGACTTGACCAGAGCAGGGAAGGTGAAGGGGATGCAGGACTGGAAAGTAAGATAAGCTTTGTTGTATTTTCATGTACTTCCGTGCCAGCCAGGTTGCCAGGGGCAGGACCTTGCTTGCCCTGTCCATGGGACCATGGGTATCTGCTCTGTGCAGGGCAACCTTCCTACTGTTTGCACTTCATACAGAATCGCCCTAAGCTCCAAACCTGCCTTCCTATGACTCTTGAATGTTTCTCTTTCAAATTCAAAGCTTAACCCTGGATCTCCTAGGGCTAGACCCTTTAGCTGATGTTTGGCATTGCTCTGCTGGGTTCACTGATTTACACCAATTGAAGGATCTGGCCCCTACTCCTTCTCTAAGTTGCTAAAAGACAAAGATAAACAAAGCTTGTGATTTAGCAAATGGGAGAACCGGAGGATGGTGAGAATTTGGGGAGCTTTTTTTTTCCGTATTTTGACTTGCAATGGCAGTGCATTGACTTAAGTTAGTCTCAATCAGGAGGGAATTTAGGGGAGTAGTTTTGGCCACTGGAGGCAGTAAAGTAACAAGACTGGTATTGGGCTAGAGGAGAGATGAGGAGAAGCCACTGCAAGGAGACTGGTAAAAGGAAAGGAGGTATAAGGTGAGGCTCTTGGCTTGAAGGAAGCGAGAGATGATGTGGGTAGGAGCAGAGTTGTGCAGAGCCCAGGGGAGTCCTCAGTTGGATGCTGGAGGCAGGAGTTATGAGTGTCCTGGGCGGTCTCACCATGCACAGATCCTGCCGCTGTCTGGGTGTGTTGTTACTCCATCAAATGTGTTGAAGGTCCTGGCACCTGCAGACCTTTCATCTAAAACAATGGCCCCAGAGCAATCTGCAGTGGGAGCTGGCCTGCCTTGTCTTGCTCAGACCAACCAGGTGTGTGCTGAATTGTTTGGGCTTCAGTTTGAGCCCTCTCCAGAGGATGATGATCATGCCAGATTGTGGGTCCCATAAACATTGTGTGTGGTGTGGATTCAAGCCCAGTACGGTGTGGCTCAATTGGGACTTCAAACCCGTTGCACAAGAGGCTTCAGGCTGACTTCCCAGATCTGAAAAGCAAGAGCCTTATCCACATTGCCATCCAGTCCCTTCTATCCTTCAGTTCCTAAGCAGCCCACTAATGTCTGTGGACATCTGCATGGAGATAGCTTTTGGCAATTGGCACCAAACACTGTTTGACAGAGCTGTTTGCTGGAAGAGTGAGTTATTGATGTTAATAGTTATTTGTAATAACGTCATTAAAAAACAGACCAGCTGCTTAACCAGCAGCATCTGGATTGGTAGGAAAATAACGAGGGCCAAGGATCCTAATAATATTAAGTTGTCTATTTACGAGGCACCAGTTGAACAAATTGAATTGTGGTGAAGAGGCCATGAGGGTTATGCTAAAACCTTGTAAAAACGACTGCTCTGTTGATTAGGTATTTGGGGGAAAAAGGCAGCCTAATTTGCAAGGGAAATGAAATTATCGTGCACTTGATCTGCAGTTCTTTCATGCAATGCAGGTTTTGATTAGCTACTGTGGGGAAAGGTCCCTCTTGTTCTATGTATAAGGAGCTGCGCTCTGGGACCTGGCCCAGGGTCTCCTTGGAGCGCACCAGACTTGTAGGGCTACAGACGGGAAGGAAGAGAAGCACTGGTGCAGCTCCGCTCCAGCTCTACCCATGGCTTCCTCCGGAGAAGGAGAGCTGAGTTCGGTGTCATTGTTGTCATAAAGTGAAACCTGCCTGTGACCCCTTATCAGAGGGATGGGCTGGTAAGGGGAAGCCCAGCTACCATGGCAAGAAGTTGTGGTAGCAGCCAATACCCTCCTTATGAAGTGGGCTTTTAAACTCATCCCCAACCATCCCTCTGTCTCAATAAGCCTGCCTCGGCCACTTCCAGTGGCCAGCTTTTTATCATTTTGTATATATTTAAAAATATCAAAAAGGTAATTCTAGATAAGTCATTAGCAAAACAGAAAGAAATCCTCCCCCCCCCGCCCCCCCAAAAAAAAATAAAAAATTGTGATATGCTTATTGGACCAAAAAACTTTTCTGAGGCAAATTGACTCCAAGAGAGCTGTACATTAGTTGACCTTAACAGACAAGCTAGTAAAATGTAACTTTGTCAAGCTCTGATTATTTGGACGTATAGATGAGCAGATCAGTCTTTACTGCACCACCATGTAACGTTCCTCTGGGAAGTAAGAGCAGCACTGCCACAACTGCTCTGGAAAGTCAGGCAGAACCAAGGCCTTGTCCTCAAAAAAAGGAAAGCACCCATTTTAATATAAAGCATTCTCTTAAATCTTACAGATTTCGCTGGGACTTAAGTGCTTTTTTGAATGGGTTTAACGTTCTGCTAATGTTTTCCTGTTTAAAAAAGCAAATGCCTGAACAAACAACTGCATGCTGTATTCTGCTCCCAGAAAACAGACTCCCCATATTCAGGAAAATTGCAGGGATAC